CAGGCCCAGCTTGTTTATTTACAGTTCCGGGAGGGATTCCCCTCCCCCTCTCTTCAGTGCTCAGGGCGCCCCACCCTCTTTGCTATGTGTCTTTATTGTTCTTATTGCTTATTACTCAGTTTCTCTTTTTTCCCCAGGTGGGGGTCGGTCTGTCCAGGGGCTATGCTGATCTAGCCCAGGGTTGTCTGTGGAAGTACCGCGTACCACTTAGCTCACCTTGTGGTCCACGTTTTCCCAAGCCGTCTGGGCGCGGGTGACTGGCGGTGGCCCGGGGGCCCTGGTTTCTCCATTCAACGTGAAGTGGAGATACTCTGTGCAGGCTGGAGGTGTGGAGGGGTCAAAGTTTTGCGTCTTCTTGGTGGTTTTGCCTGTAAGGTGAATCTCCAGCGTCTCTCCAAGATTTTACTTTAGGAGGCACACTTTCTGCTTCCTCCCTCTAGCCTCCATCTTGGAAATCCTCTCATCATTCCCTTTTGGAGAGGCTGATTTGTTCTGCTAGGGGATGTGACTCTTCCACAGTCAGGTCTCCACCTGGTGGTGTTCTTGATGGCATTCTAACAGGGGTGAAGTAGAACTTTAGTGTGGTTTTGATTTGTATTTCCTTTATGGCCAGAGATGGTGAGCATTTTTGCATAGGTTTTTTAGCCATGTGAACTTCTTCCTTTGAAAAAGTTCTGTTTAGTTTAGTTGCCCATTTCTTTATAGGGGCATTGATGTTTTGTGAGTTTAGTTTTTTGAGCTCCCTGTGTATTCTGGTTTTCAGTCCCTTGTCTGATGTATAGCTAGCAAAGATTTTCTCCCATTCTGTGGGTGGCTTCTTTTGTTGTGCAAAAGCTTTAAATTTCATATAATCCCATTTGTCAATCCTTTTCTCTTAGTTATCGAGCCACTTTAGTTCTGCTAAGGAAGTACCTGCCTATGCCTATTGTATTTCCTGCTCTTTCCTATACTAGCTTCAAGATTTTGGGTCTGATTAAGGTCCTTAATCCACTTTGAGTTGATAGTAGCACAGGCTGATAGGCATGGATCTAGTTTCAGTTTTTTTGTAGGCAAATGACCAACATTTGTTGAAGAGACTATCTCCATGGTATGTTTTTGGCACCTTTGCCAAAAATTAAGTTGGTGAAGCTGCATAGATTCATATCCAGGTCCTCTATAATGTTCCACTGATCTTCATATCTGTTTTTGTGCCAGTACCATGCTGTTTTTATTGCTATGGCTCTCTAGTATATTATGAAGTTGGGTAGTGTGATACCTCCAATGTTGCTTTTTTTGCTCAGTGTTGCCTTGGCTATTTGTGGCCTTTTATATTTCTGAAGGAACTTTAGAGTAGATTTTTCAGTCTCTGTGATGAATGTCATTGGGATTTTGATGGGAATTGCATTGGGCAAGTAGATTTCTTTTTGTAATACAGCCATTTTTACTATGTTGATTCTGCTAAACCATGAGCATGGGAGATCTTTTTCACCTTCTGTAGTCTTCTTTGATTTCTTTCGTCAGTGTTTGTAGTTTTCCTTGTAGAGGCATTTACATCCTTTGTTAAGATTATTCCTAGGTTTTTGGGTTTTTTTTTTTTTGAGGCTATTATAAATGGTTTTCCTATGTTCTTTCTCAATCTGTTCATTGTTGGTATATAGAAAGGCCACTGATTTTTGTAAGTTGATTTTGTATCCTGCTACTTTGCTAAAGCTGTTTATGGTATGTGGAGTTTTTCAGGTCTTTAAGGTATAAGATCATGTCATCTAAAAAATAAAAAAAAAATCATGTCATCTGTGAATAGGGATCATTTGACTACTTCTTTACCTATTTGCATTCCTTTTATTTCTTTTTCTTGCCTTATTGCTCTGGCTAGAAATTCTAAGACTATGTTGAATAGGAGTGGGGAGAGTGGGCACCTTGTCTTATTCTTGAGTTTAGGGGAAATGGCTTCATTTTTTCTCCATTAAGTATGATGTTGGCTATCGGTTTGTCATATATAGCCTTTATAATGTTGAGATACATTCCTTCTAGTCCTAGTTGCATCGAAGCTTTGTTTATGAAATGGTGTTGAATTTTATCAAAGGCTTTCTCTGCATCTGTTGAGATGATGAAGTATTTTTTATCTTTGCTTCTGTTAATGTGCTGTATTACATTTATTGATTTGCATATATTGAACCATCCCTGCATCCCTGGGATGAAGCTGACTTGATCATGGTCAGTGATCTTTCTGATATGTTGTTGGATTCAGTTTGCCATTATTTTATTGAGGATTTTTGCATCAGTGTTCATTAAGGAGATTGGCTGGTAGTTCTCTTTCTTGGATGTGACCTTGTCTGGTTTTGGGATGAGTGTAATACTGGCTTCATAGAGTTAGGCAGTGTTCCTTACCTTTTTGTTTCATGGAAAAGTTTAAAGAGTGTTGGTATTAGTTCTTCTTTAAAGGTCTGGTAGAATTCAGCAGAGAATCTTTCAGGTCCTAGACTTTTCTTTTTGGGAGACTCGTTATTGCTCTTATTCAATTTCATTATGTTTCATAGATCTGATTAGGTGATTAATATCCTCTTGGCTCAGTTTTGTATGGTCATAAGTATCTAAAAACTTGTTCTTTTCTTTAAGATTTTTCAATGTATTTGAATACAGGTTCTTAAGGTAGTCCCTAATGATTTGTTGGATTTCCTTGGTGTTTTTGTTTGTTTCTGATTTTACTAATTTGGGTCTTTTCCTCCCTTATTTTAGTCAGATTTGCCAGGGGTTTGTCAATCTTATTTATTTTTTCAAAGAATAAGCTTTTTTGTTTCACTGATTCTTTTTATGGTCTTTTTGTTCTCTATTTCATTAATTTCACCCCTTATATTTATTATTTCTCTCCTGCTTGTTTTGGGTTTTGCTTATTCTTGTTTTTCTAGGAGTTTGAGATGTAGCATTAGGTCGATTTTGAGATTTTTTTCTGTGTTTTTAATATATGCAGTCATGGCTCTAAACTTTCCTCTTAAGAATGTCTTTGCTGTGTCCCATAGGTTCTCATAGGTTGTGTTTTCATTATCATTAAATTCCAGAAACTTTTTGATTTCCTCCTTCATCTCTTGTATGACCCACTGATCATTGAACAATGTGCTATTTAACCTCCAATTGTTTGCATATTTTCTGCTGGTTTTGTTGTTGAGTTCTAGTTTTGTTGCATTGTGATCAGATAGTATCCTGGGGATTATTTCAGTTTTCTTATATTTTTTGAGACTTGCTTTGTGCCCTAATATATGGTCTATTTTGGAGAAAGTTCCATGGGCTGCTGAGAAGAATGTATATTGGACTGTTGCAGGGTAAAATATTCTGCCGACATCTGTGAGGTCCATTTGATGTATGGTGTGATTTAGTTCTAGGATTTCTTTGTTGATTTTTTGTCTGCATGACCTATCTGTTAGTGATAGAGATTGATTTATTTTTTAACTATACTGAGTTAATCTATCAATTCTAACAGACTTTAAAATTTTTTTCAGATCTGGGGTTTGAATTCAGGGCCTTGTGCTTGCTAGGCAGGCATTCTACTACTTGAGCCATGCCCCCAGCTTTTTAATGGAGTATTCAGGCTTTTCTGTGTATAAAATTATGTCTTCTACTAACACAGATACTTTAACTTCTTCCTTTTCAGTTTGTTGTCTATTTCTCTAGCCAAGACTTCCAATACTATATTAAACAAAAATGGTGAAAGTGAACATGTTTGTTTTATTCTAGCTCTTACAGGAAATGCTTTGAGCTTTTTCCCATTCAGTATGATATTAGCTGTGGGTTTTTCATATGTAGGCATTAGTATTTTAAGTTATGTTCTTTCTGTACTTAACTTGTTGAGAGTTTTTATCATGCAGAGATATTAAATCTTATCAAATGCTTTTTCTGCATTTTTGAGATGATCATATGGTTTTTGTTTTTAATGTTGCTAATGTGTTAGGTGACATTATTGTACCATCCTTTCATCCATGGAATGAAGATCACTTGATCATGGTTCATGACATTTTTGATTTTCTATTGGGTTTTGTTTGCGAGTATTTTGTTGAGAATTTTTGCATCTGAACTTATTAGGGATATTGGTATATAGTTTCCTTTTTTGTTGTATCTTTGACTAATGATGTTGACTATTTTTATGTGCTTATTAACCACTTGTATATCTTCTTTAGAGGAATCTTTATTCAGATACTTTACCCATTTTTTTTTTCTTTTTGCAGTATTAGGGTTTGAATGGAGGGCTTGCTAGGCAGGTGCTCTACCACTTGAGCCACTCTGCCAGCCCTTACTTTGCCCATTTTTAAAAAGGGTTGTCTTTTCATTGTTGAGTTATGGGAGTTTTTCATATATTTTGGATACTAAAATCTTATCAGATAAGTGATTTACAAATATTTTCTCCCATTCTTTAGGTTGTAATTTTACACTTATAATTTACTTTGATGCACAAAACTTTAAAAATTTTTTGAAATCCACTTTATGATATTTCCTTGGTTTCTAATGCTTTTGAGAAAATTTTGCCTACTCCAAAGTCATAAAGATTAATACCTATATTTTATTTTAAAATTTTTGTAGTTTCATATATTACATGTATGTCTTTGATTTTGAGTTTATTTTATATATAGTATGGGATGGGGTTCAACTACATTATTTTCCTTGTGGATATTTAGGTGTCCCAGTATTGTCTGTTGAAAAGATCTTTTCTGTATTCATAAGCTTGAGTTAATAAATACCAAGTGCCAGAAGGATTTCAACTTCTAGTAAAGGTGTACTGTATCATTTGCAGTAACCCTCCTGTTGAAGACAATAGAAAAGAAAAATTTTAAAAAGCTAAAAAAATAGAAAAGAAAAATAAATTATGTAGAATACCACAGAGATATCAGACTGATTTGTCATATCCCCACACTTAAAGAGGCAGAGGAACACTGGCATGAACTATCTTCCAATTTATCGTTACAACTTTCATTTTTAAACTAAGGTAAATTTTTTATGTGACATAGTTTCTTTTCTCCTTTTGTTTTTCAAAGATAGACATAAATGCATTAAGCCAAAACCTGCAGACTCTAGTGAATGAAAATAAGTACCTGGCAGATCAAATGGCTTCCCTTGAACTTCAGCAAGTCACTTCTGATTGCCATCGGGTGGGTATAAAAAGGTCAGTCTAAAGCAAGAAATAACGACTAATGAGTTTTAAAAACACAAAAACAATCATAAGTCAGGAAATAGGTTTTCTTTGTGTGTTTTTTTGTTTGTTTTAGTTAACCTCAGATTTAATAAACTAATAAGTTATTTTGGTCAAAAAGAATAATTAAATTTATGTTACAAATTCAAATTCAAGTATTTTTTGTCATGTTGAGGTAGCAAATACTCTGTTACCTGAACTATCAACAGCAAACATAAATTCAACATATTTTGGCTATTTATTAAATATTAAATATCTATGATTATGAATCTTCCTTGAGTAAATTATAAGTGAACAAAACCAAAGAACAGATTTTTTCCCCCATATCTAACCTATTTAACCCAAAAATTCACTTTCCAGCTTTCAACATATATACAGCTTTCTTTTATAATCTTATAATTTTTTTTTTTTTACAAATTCAATGTTAGTACTATTCCACTGGTAACTGTTACCTGTATTAATTTACTACAAAGAGATACTGATAGAAGGGGAAATCAAGAATTAACATTCTTGAGCAGAAAATGAAAGAACTGAAGAGCGATTTCTTCACTGTAAAGTGAATTATTACTCAGTATCTCCTCATGCTAACACATGGGTTAACACTCACCATAAAGCACATGCTGGTATTTAAGAGATATAAGGATAGTCCAAGTTCTCTGACAAAAATCACATTATTCCATTATGTTTGAAAATAAATACTTGGAGAATGATGAAGGGGGTGAATTCAACTGTGATATATTGCAAGAACCTTTGTAAATGTCACAATGTACCGTCAGCACAATAATACAAAGAAAGAAAGAAAAGAGGAAAAAAGAAAATAAATACTTGAAATTCTAGTACACACCTTGGATCCTATTTGGACATTCCATTCAATTTATTGGAATGTTTTTTGTTTTTTGAGACACAGTCTTGCTTTGTTGCCTTGAACTTGCCATCCTACTGTCTCAGCCTCCCAAGTGTTGTGATTACAGGTGTGCACTATAATACCTAGCTCCTATTAAATACTTTTTTAAAATATGTCATAACAAATACAGTATAGAAGCAAAAAAATTTAAATGTCACTTCAAGCAATGACAACTAACATCAGTAAAATGTCACTCCTTTAGTCATGACACAAAACACACAGAAAATCTTGGGCTATTTTTCAATTATTCTTTGAGTATTTTCAATGTGGAAAATATGTTGTGAAACAATGCTGTTGCAGGTTTACTCAGCAAATTTTTGTGACATAGTGTAAATAAGTGACAGTCATACTACATTGGGACTCAAGGATCTTAAGTGATAGGACTAAGAAGAGCTATATGACTCATTTATCCAGAGTATCATAAGTCTTAGGTAACTCAGGATAAAAATGGTAGAGATCCCTGCAATATTCAAACAATAAAAGATTTAAGGAACCAGCTACTAAATAGCTGTCTACATAAATGATCTATAAACTGACTATTATGAATAAATCTGATGTTTTAAAATAATTCCTCTTTAACACATTATGCAGAAGAAATTTGCATTGTCCCCTTGGTTGGTTACTTCCATTAGTCTGATTTCTAAAAGCTATTTGAGAAGGATTACAAATAAATGTTAGAATTCTTAAAACATCTCCAAGTGAAGGGATTTAAAAAACAAATATTTTGTAAAGAAGATAATAATTTTCCTATGTGTTTTTCAGTACTTGAAAAGAGTTACCATTTTATAACATGCAAATAATTTTTTAAGTTTCTAATGTGTCTTTCTTAATCTGAGTTCAATTCTTTCAAATCCTGCCATAAACTGCTCATTACTTAGCCAAGAAGAATTACACAGTCCAAATCTTCTTACATTTTCATAACTTTGAGCCAGACTTCCTAGGTTTCAATTTTGACTGTGACCTTGAGTATAATTTTTAATCTCAAAACCTCAGTTCTTAATCTGTGAAAATGAGAATAATAATACTATGAAGTTGTTGGAGGATAGGGCAAATTAATACATATAAAACATGTACTGGCCAGGAATTGGAGGAGGGAAGATGAAGGAGAGCAGTGGAGGGAGTGAATTCAAGCATGACATATTTTATACATTATAAGAATCTTTGTAAATGCTACAATGTACCCCCACCCAGCACAACAATAAAAAAAGAAAGAAAGCATGTACTGATAACTAACATGTATTAATCTTAGTATCTAAACTATCTTGGTAAGGGGATACCCTGTAAGTGCCTATTGGCATGACAAGATCTATTAGCTGTGATTCTTGGCATATCTCAGACCAGCTCTCCCTTGCCCCAAGATTCAGTCATGATCATTGCTTCTTCATCAGGACTCAGTTGGGCTTATCTACCATCTCTGGTTTTGATGCCTCTGGAAGACCACACCTCAGTGGCCCTGGTTATTTCCTGAACCCATTGCCAGTGAGCATGCCTATACCCTTATGCTGTTAGTGACTTTGACAGATCTTCCCAGGGATTTAGTCAGTGTTGATTCTTACCTGCTCACCAGACCTCTTGTTTAAGGTCTTCTAATGATAACTCACCTCAATTCTGGCTTGCAGTTCTGTGTCCATCTAGAAGCTTCTCTCACTAGCCATCTTGGAAGTGTTTTGACTAGTTATATGAGTTTGAGGAATGAGTTTAAGGTGTCAAGGTTGTTTTTGAATTTTGCAATATTGCTAAATCTATTACCATTCAATGCTGGTCATGCATTTTTGTTTTTTGAAAGTTAAAACTTGAAATTCTTAGAAAGGGATGCCTTGCAGTATAAATTGTCATTAATTTTTAGAGAGTGTGTTATGTATATAAAATCAAAGTTTGCTCAGTCTGCTGCATGTCATGTTATGAATAAAATTCCTGCTTACATTGTGCTTATAAAATAACTATAAGATTCCAGTAACTCACTGGTTTTGTGTATTCTTCTAACAGCTTCTGCTAACTATTAAGCACAAAAAAAGGATTTTGCACATCCTAATGTGTACGATCCACATTTGGATTCCCAGCACTGCAAAAAAATTTTTTTTTCAAAGCATCTTGTGGCGTACTATTTGTGTTAGTCAATTTTCTATCACTGTGATAAAAATACCTGAGATCATCAGCTTCAAGGAGGAAAGATTTATTTTGGCTCACAGTTTTGTAAGTTTCAGTTCATGGTTAGTTGTACCCTTGCTTTTGGGACTCTATTGAGGCAGTGCTTCATGGTGGCAGAGGAGCTGCTCATCTTATGGCAACTAGGAAGTGAAAAGAGGGACAGGAGAAGGCCAGGTCCCAGTATCCCCTTCAAAGGACCACCCCCCCCACCGACAGTAACCTAACTTCCCTGCAGTAGGTCTGTCCTAAAGATTCTACCACCCTTCATAGTGTCATTGGCTGGACCAGGCCTTTGACACATGAACCTTTGGGGGACATTTTAGATCCAAACTATAGCACCACTGATTCTTGCCAACCTACCTTCTGTATCTCAAGATAATTCTTGCCATGATTGCATTCTGCTTTTCTAAAGAGTAATATTTTGTGTTTCTAAATTTAAAATGTGTATGATAAATATTGATATTTTTCGTTTCTCAAGTGATTCTCCAGTTTCTGTTTTGCTTTCTATGCTAACAATCTTTATAATATATCCCAAAGGTTATTCAAGCAAAGGTTAATCTCAGTTCTGTTTCCCACAGCTCATAACTTCCTGGTCTTCCCTTGATGAAAGCACAGGGTCTATTTAAATAATCTGTAAACAAGTATTTCTGTAAGTGCCTTAACATCCATTTTCCCTTAGCAACTGATAACAGTTCTTTTTGTTTGTTACATTTAAATAAATGACCCTGTGTTAAATATTTTCACATTTTAATTTTGATTAGACAGTTTTCACTTACTCTCTAGCATTCTCTTTGTAAGCAAAAGAAGAAAATTATTTTTAAATGTATTTAAAGTATTAATGGAATTTTTTTCTTTGCCTAAAAGAGGGATTTTTATTATAGTCAAAAAAAGTGTCATTATTTTTTAAATTCCTGGACACTTTTTATAAGAGACCCAGATAATCCATGTTATTCCAAAAAAAATTTTCCACATTCCAAGAAGATGAAGTTATTTTTTGAGTGATTAATATTTGGTATAGCTAGCATTTTAGGCTAAATCAAGTTCTTATGCTTTTTTTTTTAACTTGCTATACCTATACTTTACAGCATCTTAATTTATAGAACTTGGAACTGAATTTTAAATACTTAAGTTTTATTGTTATTGTATTTTTGGTTTTGTAGCATTATTGGCCATCCCCATAATTTATTTGCTGCTGAAGCTTTGGTGAAAATATAATTCTAAACTATAATTTTGTATCACCATTTTAAAATAGAAGATGTAGTGACAAAATCTTTCACAGAAAGAAAATTAATTAGTGATTAATTATTATTAGCCTCCTATTTATTGATAACAGCTTACCTTCCCCTTAGGTTATTTTAAAACCAATATTTTATTGGTCTTAATGCTTTAGGACAATATTTTCCTTTACCTTAATGGGAGCAATGTATAGCAGTTTTTAAAAACTGAATTATGAATATGTATAATTATACATGAAATAAATATTAGTTCTGATAGGACAAATATCTAATAGTCATAGAAGTTAATACACTGAAGTGTGAATTTACTGGTATAAATTTTTATATTGAGTGGATAATTTAAGGGTAGGTAGTAGATAAGGGCTAGTGTACTCTTTAAGGTTTTCCCATCAGTTTTTTTAAAAATCAAGTCTAAAGTATCTAAAGTATTGATTCTTCTATCAATGGTAGGTAGCTATGAAGCAGGGTTTAGAAATGGTCTAGACTACTGAGGTTTCTTGTAGAACAATTCCTATCACAAAAACATTTTGACAAAATTAAACCATGAGTTATATGTTATATAGTTATTTAGTTTTGCTTCTATTTAGAGCAGGTCTGTTGGATTCACAACACTTAAAATGAAATAAAATACACTACAAAGTGGTGACAGAAGAATAACTGTAACTATACTAAAGATAGTAATGAGTGTCTCTTATGTAAATTAATACCCCTACATACATAGTTTCATCTTTCACAACTTACTCAAAGTTGAACATAAAACAAAAGTGAAATTCTTTGGCTTGAAATGCTTAAAAGTCCTCCTGTTGTGTTATCTAGAGATTAATCAAACATAAGCCTGACATAGTGAACCATGTCAGCATAGGACACTTACCAACATAACAAGACTCTGCACTCGAGATTTACTGCAAATGATCATGGTGCAGCTACCAGGCCTGAGTGAGTTAAGAGCTGTGTTCTTAGTCACAGTGCACTGTGGGTGTTATCCAATATTTGGTTTATGAAGATAGCTTGTTTCCATAGATGACAAAAATCAATATTTCTATTACTAAGTTATAACATTGACATTGATTGTGGAGGGTACAAATTTCCATATTCAGTCGTTAATAGTGGCCCTCATGTAAAAGAAGTATTAACAAGCTTCAAACTTTAATCAAAAGAAAGCTATACTTTATACTTAGTTTTTTCTGACAAAGTCTGAGAAAAACAAATATAAAATAAAATTTCACTATTAAAGACTTTGAATAATGAAAATATATAATTTCATAAAATTTGAAACCTTTACTAATGCTTGTCCCAGTTAAGACTGTACTGAATGCTTGATCAAACAATGGGTTTGCCTCCAACAAATGTTTCTTTTATCATCTTAGAGATTTTTTTTAACTGCTGTTTACTGTGGCAAGTAACATGTCTTCCACTGCCAGGGTTGTGGTCATTTGCAGCTCGCAAGCACAGCCTCACATCATCTGGTTGGATCAAAGCTACGGAGGATGAATTGACATAGGGAAAAAACTAATGTGCAAAGAGCAACAAACTCTGCATCTCTTAAGGCCTCATAATTTCATTAGCAGTCTCAGTACATGCTGCCTGTCAGCTCTATAACGGTTTATCTAGGGAAGGACTGAGCTGCAGCAGTAGCAAATAAATCCTAATCTTGATCTTACTACTCTAGAAATAGTGAGGATACTCGTTTGAAATACTTCCTGTGCTGAGGGGTACTGATAACTATGTTTGCTTTATCAGCTTGCCCAGCAGAAGGTGGAAAAGGTGTTGGGAAAAATTACTGAGAGTAAAAATAAACTGGCCTATGAAAAGGGAAAACTCCAGGTATGAGATTTATCTTCAGATTTTTGTTGTCTCACTTTTGTCAAAAGTAAATGTTGTTGGATTTTGAGAAGAGCTAGCTCTGTCATTCACTAATTTTGGTATCTGTGAAGCTCCCTACGTTTGCTGCATCACTAATATCCAGGTGTCTTCTGTTCACAACCTTAAATCCGTGAAGCTAAAACCACTCTGTGACTGTCCCAAGCCTTAGTGTAATGATTTTAGGGTGATCATTCCCGGAGAATGTGGAGACCCTGTGCTGGCTTCTTTTTTTTTTTTTTTTTTTTTGGTGAATTTTTATAGCACATTGCTAAAAAGAAGTAACTCTGGATATTGTTCTCAGAGGCAATGGAATAGACTTGTGTGAATGTAATGATACTGTTCTTTTTCTGCCTATGGATTTTGTCTCCATGGCATGCTCAGAGCAGGAAGCTTGCCACTGATATGGGCGAGCCTGAATTAAACCAATTCCACTGGAAACACCACAGTCTAAATGGTTCTAAGCCTTCACTACACATCAGAATTGCCTGGGGAGTTTTAAAAAATCCCACTGCTAGGAAGTGGATGATGTTTGCCAATTACTTTGAAATGCATTATAGAAAAAAACAGATTGATGGCTCCCTAGGGGGAATGATAGCTAGAAATGTGATAAGCAAGTAAAAAGATGTTAATATAGAATGGTGGGCATCTGCATGCTCATAGTAAAATTCTTTTCATTTTTCTGTTTAAATTTTTCATAACAAAAAAGTCACAGGGAGAAAAATCCCTAAGACTAGAATTCCAGCTCAAAACAATTAAATCCAAATATTAAAAGATAAGTCCCAGGCTTCAGAACTTTTAAAGCTCCCCAAATCAAGTCAGGCATGGTGGCATATGCCTGAAATCCCAGAGACAGCATATTGTTGGATCAATACCTCTCTTTATAGGCATCATTTTAATTCTGATCCTTAATGAAAACCACAATTAATTTTTACTGATGTCTTGGGGGATGTAGCACACGTATTATATTACAGATTGAAGAAAAGAAACAACAGAAACTGACAAAGGTAAAAGAAAGATGGATCCTCCTGCATGAATAAGAGATGCCTCCTGAGACAAATGGGTGTTCATGCAGTCTTTCAAAAAAAACAGAAAAGCCTTACTATTAGCAACTCAAATATAACAGCTCCTGAAAATGTCTAGTAGCTACAGGCAAAGAAGTATTTATCCTTCATAGACATGAAACAAGAAAAGATACTGAGAAAAGAAAAAAATAACATTTATAAATTTTAAAATTTGAACGAAAAATTTCCTGATTCAGTGATATTAATTTTATTGTGTATAATAGGGTTGAGGATAAGACAAAAACATGGAAAAGTATAGGATTTACAGATTTGTAAGCATGTTATTTTATCCCACAAAAATGATCATTTTAAAAGAAAAATACGAGTAGTCATCTTTATGAGTTAGTTTTAAATATAATTCAGCATATAAGAATTCCATTTATTCAACTTTTCTAATTCTCTATTTGTATAACACAAGACTTTCTTCCTTGTCCATTGACAGTTCTAATCATCCATATTCAAAAATGTTTCTGAATGCCAGGTACCACAGTTCATTTGAAATTGAAACATATCAGCCCCAAAATCTCACTTAGATTCATGAATTGTGTCCATTTGGATTTGCCATAAGCAACAGAAACCATATGAGTTATTTTGCCACATTTAGATAACTATAGCAGGCTAAGATTGTGGCTTAAGTGGTAGAGCACCTGCCTACCAAGCACAATACCTAGAGTTCAAACCTCAGTATCAAAAAGAAAAAAAATCTCACTCCTGCATACCTGTAATCCCAACTACTTGGGAGGTGAAAGCAAGAAGATCATAGATTTGAGGCCAATCTAGGCAAACTTACACACTATCTCAAAAACAAAAAAACAGCAGCAAAAGGGCTGGTAGAGCATTTGGCACGAGGCACTGGGTTCAAGCCCCAGTACTGCAAAAATAATTAAACAAATAAATAAATGAGTAAGTAAACGGCTATAGCCTACTTTTAGCTGTGAGTTGAAATAGACTTCTTTGCATGGTTAGAAAAACAGAATTGTTTTTTGCAGGTTTCAAGTGTTCTTTCTAAATTTTCCCCCAAAATTTTGGAATATATGAGACTTATTTTCAGTTTTTCCATTAGGTAAAAGTTAAACAGCTAGAAGAACTACTACATTCTTCTACTGAAACCAGTTTACAGAATGACCATCTACGCAAGTTGAATAAGGCTTTAGAGGCCAGATACACTCAGGTATGATTAATATCTACAAAAGTAGTTGCTATTAGACTGCTGTTATATTGTTTTTGTTCTTAAGAAATTGCTTGACAGCTTTCTTCACTCCCATCTTAACATATAATCCTGGAAAGATTAATTTCCCCTCTCTTGACTCAACTCAAGTTCATTTTTAAAGCATCTGCTTTGTACAAGATTCTGCTAAGCTGTAGAGGAATTCATAAAGATACTTGAAGCAGAATTAGGACATTCGACTTTGCTTGACGTTTAGGAGTGTACTCAGTAAACTTTATTATAGAATAAAAAATTACGGCTTTCAGGAAAATATAAGTCACATTCATGAGCATTCATAGGGAGCATCATTATGATTGAAAACACCAAGAAATGCTTTCATAGAGGAAGTGGTTTTTGAGTTTGAGCCTTATAATTTTTGATAGATGTAAGGAACAGGTGTCTTTGTTTTTTGAATTATAGGCCAATTCAGAACTCAGTACCAACAAGGAATACCTGCAACACACAGAAGCTCACCTGAAAGAGGTATTAGTAGTGAAGATGCTTACTTGTCAGCCTGGTAACTGTGGAGGCAGAAACCTTTTGTAGGTCACATAGCATTTTAACAAATGAATACAAAAAAGTGAAACAAGCAAAATATATAAGACATTTAGTGAAGAACTTAACTCAGGAATGTCTTACAAAAAAAGTGATTCACTTCAATGATTACAAATTTACTGTGTATATAATTAGATTTTTTTAAAATCTATAATGCAAAGCATGTGTAATGTCTGTGTCTATGACATCTGTGTACACCTCTAATAACCAAGGTACTAGAATAGTCTTCAAGTGGAATACTCACAGGCTTCTAACCAACTGACTCTGTTGATGAGTGATGAGGTCACAAAGTTATATGTTCTCCTACAGGAAATTTAAGAGCTGTTTCTTCACTAGGTCATACTTGACATGGTGATCTCTTCATTCTGAAAGCAAAGGAACACAAATATATTTTTCACTGCAACTTCTTCCAGAACATTCTGAGATTTTTCCTACTAAATTGGGTACTCCTAGAAAAATAATTCTAGGTTCAATTGATTTTATTACCTTTAATTGATGATGCCTCCAAGAAAAAGGAAATCTCCAGAAAGGCCTGCATCTTCAAAGTCCCTGGAAAGTTCTAGGCCTTATGTAAATAATGTAAAGGAAAGAGCTCCAGCAGTTGGTTTGCCCAATGTTATTCCAAACTCCACACGCCGTGTGACTTTTGCACCTACTGTGCCTTCTATGAGGACATCTCAGGAGATTGGAGACTCTAGAATCTCTCTAAAGACTCTTTTGAATGCAATTAAAACCATGGAGGGAAGACTAGAAGGCAAAATAGACATTCTTGCCTCAAGACCCTTAGTAAGTGATGAATCACCAAATTTTCTTAAACAGGATTCGGTAAGTGAAGAACATATATCTTAGGGAGATTTCAAATTTATATAAGAATGAGGAAAGTATAATAATCTGTAAAGATAATGCTTAAAGATAAGAGTAACAAGGAAATGTGCTTCACAAATCAGAAAAACTGATGGTGTACATTTGGACCATCATTATGGCTGTCACATAATTTTTGTATTGAACATAGAAAACGTGGCTTAATTTTTTTTTTAAATCTTATTTGGAGTTTTAAAAAAATTAGTATTTCTACCTGATCTTCACATTTGGTTTTAAAATAGAAATATGGGAATCCAAGGAATCCCAAGAAATTGAATATTGGGAAGTATTTTTGAGCAAAAACTTGCTAGATCATCCATCTTTGCTTGATATTTTAAAATAAAAAATATTATAACTTGTCTTTTGAAGTAGACTACTATTTAGATACTGTCTGTAAACATTTTTGCTGGTGGATTTTTTTGTTTGTATGTATTATAAACATTGGAAAAAATTTAAAACTCTATTCTTCCTTGTATACTTTTTCTCAAACAGAATCCAGAGGATTTTCAATGCCTATAAGTTGGCTATCCTTGAACTATCCTGAGATCCTTATAGAAAAAGTTAAAGAATTTTAAATGTTGCAAGTTAAATTTCAAGGAAGCATTATTGAGGATAGTGTGGATAAAAGACATACTTTGTGACTCTTGGGAATGTAAAGTAATACAACTTCCTATACAGGACAATTCGACAGTATTTATCACAACTTCAACCCACAATTGTACTTCTAGGACTTTTTCTGACAGATATGGTAGCTTGTACACATGACATGTTTACAGTGGTAATTCCTGAGGTATTGCTGGTTAGTAGCAAAAGACTGGAGGCAACCAGAGTTCCATCATAAGAGGCTGCCTAAACTAATCACATGTATCCACAGCTTGTAATATTGCTTCAAGTTATGTATGCTACTAGTTTTAAACAATCTTAAGTTTAAAGAACCTTTGTGAATGCTACAATGTACCCACACCAAACACAACAATAAAGAAAGAAAATATTCCTCCTTAGCAAAAAAAAAAAAAAAAGAGTATATATAGTATTTTACTATTTACATGCAAAAGGGTAGGGAGATTAAAAATATATATACATTAAAAATATAAAACACATTTTAATGAATAGGATATCTCTAAAATCATAAACTAGAAACATTAAGAAAGGAAACTGGATGGCTGGGAGATTTTTCACTTTATCTCTTTGTACCTTAAAAATAATGTGAATGAGTAATTTCTGAACATTTCAGTTTCAACAAAACTGAAAGCTGAGAATTAGATATCCATATGCAAAAAAAACTTTGACCCATATCTCACCATATATAAAAATTAACTCAAAATGGATCATAGATCTAAATGTCAATCCTAAAACTAAAACTTCTAGAAGATCACATAGAAGATCTTTGTGATCTTGGGTCACAAAAAAATTTCTTAGATTTGGTACCAGAGAGTGATCCATAGGACTGTGAGTATGCTCAGTGGTAGAGCACTTGTGTGGCATGCACAAGGCCCTGGATATGCTCCCTAATTCCACAAAATATGGCCCTTAAAGGAACAAAAATGACACATTTTACTTCCCTAAAATTGACAATTGATAGCTACTCAGAATGTGGAGATCAAGAAGATCGCAATTCAAGACCAGCCCAGGCAAAAAGTTAGCCAGACTCGGTCTCAACTAATACAGCTGGGTATGGTGGTTCAGGCTTATTATCCCAGCTACATGGAAGGTAAAATAAGAGGATTGCAGTCCAGACTGGCCCAGGCAAAAACTTGAGACCCTATTTAAAAAATAACTAAAGCAGAAGGGACTGGGGGTGTGGCTCAAGTATAAAGTGCTTATCCAAAAAGCACAAGACCCTGAGATCGAATCTGTTCACCAAAAGGTGGGGGGACAACTTTACTCTTTAAAGACCTTAAAAGAACCAAAAAACAAGCAACAGACTAGGAGAAAATATATACAAGCCACATAACTAATTATGGTGTTGTGTCTGGAATGTATAAAAAAATTCTCAAAAGTCAACTGAGAACACAACCCAATAAAAAAAATGGGCAAAATATTTGAGTAGATATTATGCAAAAAAAGATACATGGATGGTAGTTAAGCCGCTGAAAGATGTTAAACATCAGTCTTTAGGGAAAGTCGGTAACACCACAGTGAAATACTATCACTACCTATTAGAAGGTGTAAAATTTAAACACTGAAAACACCAAGCATTAGTGAGTAAGCATATAGAACAAGTGGAACTCTTTTACACTGCTGGTGGGAATATAAAATAGTAGAACCACTATGATAGTTAATCTTGATTCTCAACTTAATTGGATTGAGGGCATTTCCAGAGAGGATTGACTAAGGGAAGAAGACCCACCAAGAAGGCAGGGGCACCATCCCATGGACTGAGGTCCTCAATGGAATAAAAAGGGGAAGGAGACGCTCTGCTTCCTGTCCATCATTATGTGTGCTGCTTTACTTTGTCACGCCCTCACCACCATGATGGACTGAAGCCTCTGAAACTCTGCGCTAAAATGATTAATTCCTCCCTTTAAGTTGTTTTGTCGGGAATTTTCTCACAATTTCTACACAAAGACTTGTATACAAGTGTTCAAAGCAGCTTTGTTTGTAATAGTTTAGAGCTGTGAATAACTCAAGTATACAACATGTTAATAGGTAAGTAAATTGTGATATATTCAGATAATACAATACTAAGCAACAGAAAGGAGCAAACTGTTTATACATGCGTCAAATTGATTGAATCTCAAAATAATTATACTGAGTGAAAGAAGCCATTCAAAAAAGTGCATACAATGTGATTCCATTTATATAAAATTCTAGAAAATTCAAACTATTTTGACAGAAAATATCAGTTGTTGCCTTGGGTGGAGGTATGGGAACAGGGAAAAACTGAGGGAGAAATTAGAAAAGGGAATAAACCCTTAGGACTGTTGAAAAGTTCAGTATCTAGTATCTATAGTGGCTTCAAGGGTTTCTACAAAACTTACCAAACTGTACCCTTTATGTATATGCAACTTATTGTATGCCAGTTATACCTCAGGAAAACTGAGGTATAACATGAATATATTATTTTTAAAAACTCATCAAAATGTTTAACATTCTTGAAAGGACAGAACTATAGAGAAAGACAACAAATTAGTAGTTGATAGCCTGGACCATCCCATGTCTGTCTGTCCTCCACTTCCTGGGCTTTGGCAGCCACAATTCTTTACTTCCACCAAATTAACTTTCAGCTTCCGTATATGAGGGGGGGAGCATGTAATATTTTTCTTTTTTTCTTCTGTTTTTGTTTTTGTTTTTGGCAGTACCAAAGTTTGAACTTCGGGCGTCACACTTAACTAGGCACGCTTCACCACTTGAGCCCCAGCTGTTTTTGCTTTTGGATAGATGGACCTGGAGAGGAGCAAATACAGAGCAGTAGGAATGCATGCTGATAGAACAGGACTGCATCTTGATTATAGCTGAGGTCACACAAATATGCAACAAGGATCAAATTGCATAGAACTGTGTGTGTGCACACACACTCCCCACATGTAGATGAATTAAGGTGAAAAATGGTGAAAATTGAATAAATTCTTTTTCTAGCTGATAATTAACAGACCAATGTCAATTTCCTGGGTTTGATGTTGAACCTCAGGGGGGACCTCTTTGTACTATTTTCATAATATTCTGTGAGCCTATAATTATTTCAAGATGAAGGCTTTAAAAGAATAGTATTTAAAATAGTGTGATTATCTGAAATGATTGTATAGATCTAATAAAAGTGTTCAAGGATATGAAATTCTAATACTTCTAATAAGAATTTTCTGCTGTAATGCTATTTTTATAAGTATTTTTATTAGGATATATTCATTTTATGGGGGGATTCACAGTGACAATTCCAATTAGACTTACATTGTACATGTAATACTATTTTATAGATGCTACTTGGTATTCATTTGGCTTTTGTTGTATTTATTCATCTATTTACCTTTTCAAAAGGAAGCTAGTTCTGTAATGATCAGTTTCTCTCCCATTTTACATCTCTGCCTCATAGTCTTGTTCTTTCTATTACTATGTTTTCTTGGAGATTGTCTCACATATTAGGTTTGTCCATGTTTATTCACACAGACTTGTTTCTGTTATTTTATAGTCTTTAAAGCTAATAAAGGTGAAGCCTAATATATAGTAGTGGTAAACATTTAACTGAACATCTCAAGTTTGGTTTGTAAATTGCTGTCTTATTATAATTACTGATTTATTATGTTTTAGAAATTTATGCATTGTTTCTTTTTTTATACTAAGGTGAAATCTATTCTTGAAAAAAATGAAGAGGAGCTGTCCCAAGCAGTAAAGGACCGAGATGCAGCCCTGAAAGAGAGTCAGAAGTTGAAAGGAGACCTGGAGGCTTTTGAGGACAGGGAAAACAAGAAGGTGAGGCATCCCTCCTTTTTGAAAGTCTGCCAGTAATATGGAGCACTTAGAAATCCTTCTCAAGACATATTCCTTAACTTCTTGTTCTCCTTAGTAAAAAGAATGAGGACTGATCAGAGAAGGAGTTCTTTATCTACATGAAAGATAACTTTAGGACAGTTTTTAAATACTTCCCTTAAAGATACATTATATGATTCTCCATGTATTTTTTACCTGTCTTACAATCAAAAGAAAAAAATTCTAATTTTTTCTATTAAAACCCACCTATACTTAGTAATAATAACCTTCAGACTTCTGTGGGATTTTTTTTTCTGGTTTTCCTTTGGTTTTTGAAACAGACTCTCATTATATAGTGCTGACTGGCCATGACCCCTTAGTCCTCTGTTTTATCTTCCCCCCAAAACTCCTCCCACCAGTGCTGAGATTACAGGAATATGCCACTATACCTGTATGCACACTTCTTCTTTATTAGTGTGATATAACAGTACTATGATACTTTGTCCCTAATATTCCTATGATGTGTGTGATAATGGGAATGACAACTATACCTTAAACTAATTTTTTAATATATTTTTATTTTCAATTGACACATTGTAATTTTGTATATTTATTGAGTATACTGTATGACATTTCAGTGTGTTTGTACAACGTGTATTGATCAGATCATGATAATTAGCATATATGTCACTCCATATGTTTATCAGTTCTTTGTGTTGGGAACATTATTCGAAATACTGTCTGCTGGCTATTTATGGTATTTGTATTTGAAATACAAATGGTTCATTATGGTCAACCACTGTTATCCTACTGGACAGTTGAACACTGGTATTTTCCTTCTATCCATCTGCATCCCAGGCCCACTAGCCATCCCATGTCCATCGCCCTCCCTTCCCAGGCTCTGGCAGACACAGTTCTCTGCTTTCATGATACCAGCTTTTTATTAGCAAGAGCATGCAATACTAGGGCCTCACGCTTGCCAGGCCTGTGCTTCACACTTGAGCCACACACCCAGGCTATTTTGCTTTAGTGTTTTTCAAGTAGGGTCTTGTGCTTTATGCCTGGGCCAGCCTCAGACTATGGTCCCCTTACCTACACCTCCCACATAGATGGGGTACAGGTATGCACTTCCATACCTGGCTTGTTTGTTGAGATGGGGATCTCACTAACTTTCTTCCCAGACTGGACTCAAATTATGATCCTCCTGATTGTCGCCTCCTGAGTAGCTGGGATTACAGGCATGTACCACCATGTCTGGTCCAATATTTGTCTTCTCATTTCTTCAAATGACAAAATCTCATTATTTTTATGACTGAATAATCTGTTGTGTATATGTGCCACATTTCTTTATCTGTTTGTTATTCTGTCCACATCTGAAAGTTCTTGATGACAGAATGCTAAATTTTTCCTCTCTGAAGAGGTCTGTGAGTTACATCATTCTTCAGCAGCTTCTGCTTTCTCCAGCAGTCTCTTTTGTTATTCTGAGATAATTTCGGATGTATTTTCCCCTGGCCCATCAGAGACAGCTGAGCATAGCAGCCTAGGCTCACCTCTGAACCCATGAATTTTTTGGCCCCAGGGTTTCCAGTTAATGTGTGTTCTGTGCCATGGGCAGTGGTGGGAAGCTGCAACGTTTTCTGCAAGTTCTAGGGTCTGCTTTTCTTTTTCTCAGTGTCACAATAATTAAAGAGACATTTAAGCATTCCTTTTTCTACCATGCCTGCCTTCCACATTCTTTCCTAGGAGTAGTGGACACAGACAAAGTAACAAGAAAGGACGAGTGACTTGGTCTTGTCACATTTTCTTGTAGGTGGGGAACTTTCAGCGACAGTTGGCAGAGGCTAAAGAAGACAACTGCAAGGTCACAATTATGCTGGAAAATGTGCTGGCTTCTCACAGTAAGATGCAGGGAGCGCTGGAGAAAGTGCAAGTAGAGCTGGGGCGGAGGGATTCCGAGATCGCAGGCCTCAAGAAAGAAAGGTACCTGCATTGTTTCCTGTCCTGGGTACTGCTGCTTGGTGCTAGGAGCAGAATCCTGCGGGGAATGAGATCATTTTCAGACCACTTCCTTTGTGAAAGACCACTCAAATGGTGTTTAAAGAAGTAACAAGTTAGGGAGAAGCTGGAATTAGGAAGGTTTCTAAAAATTCAAAACTTCCATTTTATAGTGATATGAAAAAGAATGTACCATTGAAATTCATGTACCGTATCATTGCTTTACCCTTGATGCTTTCTGTACCATTTAAGCCTCATTCTGCCCTTTCTATAAATAACAACTGTTGAGATAATTAAAGCTGTCCTGGGAGTGTAGCTCAGCTGTAGAGTTCTTGCCTAGCATGTGCAGTTTCTGGATTTGAATTTTAGCACTAAAATAAAATAATAAAATAAGCCAGGCATGGCAGTGGTTCATGCCTGTAATCCTCACTCCCCACCTAATCAGGAGACAGAGGTAGAAGGATCTTGTTCAAGGCCAGCTCAAGCAAAAGTTATCAAGACCCTATCTCAAAAACAAGCCAGGTGTGGCTCAAGTGGTAGAGTAATTGCCTAGCAAACATGAGATCCTCAGTTCAATTCCAGTACTGCCAAAAAAAAAAAAAAAAAAAAAAAGCAAACCTTAAAGCTAAATGACTATTTTAGTTTGAATCAATAATTCATTTATTAAGAAAATGTGGTATTTAAATATATAGTGGAATATTACTCAGCCACAAAGAAAAATGAAATTTTGTCATTTGCAGATAAATGGATGTAGCTGGAGAACATCATCTTAAGTGAAGTTAGCCAAGCTCAGAAGGCCAAAAGCTACATGTTCTCTCTCATATGTGGAATATAGACCTAATACAAATACAGCAATATTATGAAACACTGGTCATATTAAGGGGAGGTCACATATGAGAGGGGTAGAGTAAAAGAAGGAAACTAAGAAGTTGAATATGGTTGATACACTCTCTAAACAAGAATGAATACAAAAGTCTTAAACCAGTTGAAACCATCATAAGAAAGGGACGAAGGTAGAATGAAGAAAAATAGAGGCGATGACTAACTGAGGTTATATTACATGTATACATGGAAATATCACAAGGAAACTCCATGTAGTACCTTTATCTCAAACAAGCTAAAATGTCATGTTTTTGTTTTATCTTTCTCTTTTTTTCTTCTACAAAATCAGAGAATAGAAGGGCAGAACAAGTCCTGCCCAGGGTGGAGGGGTTGGTATCAATGGGATGGGGGAATGGTGGGGAAAGAGGGGGAGGGTGACTATAGTGCAAAAAATGTGTACACATATATGTAAGTGCAAAAACAATACCTGTTCAAACTATACCAGGAATTGGGGGGGTGTGGATAAAGGAGAGAGGTGGAGAGGGTGAATCCAATATGACATGTTTGATACATTGTAAGAACTTTTGTAAATGTCATAATGTTCCCCCACCCAGCACAAGAACAAAGGAAAAGAAAGGAAAAAAATAATTCATTTATTACTATATTAAGATTAGTAACTGTTTCAGTTTAATCATTGAGAACCACTTCCAGCCATGTTTGGTATTTAAACTTCTTTGAGGGCTGTTGGGGGGAGGGGTGGCTTAAGTAATAGAGCACTTGCCTAGCAAATGCAAGGCCCTAGTTCAAATACAGCACTGTCACAAAGAAACAAACCAAAACAAAGACTCATTTTTTTAATGTTTAAAAAAATTACATAAATTTTCCCTTTTAGGTTAAAAAAATTGATCTGCATCTAATAGGGCCTATAATATACACTGTGTGTGTTAGTGGTGCAATTTGCTTATATATTACGAGAGAATAAGTAAGCTGTGTTTTCTTTGTTGTCCTTATCTTTATTTTCCAAATACTATGAAAGTAATATAACCTTTAAATCTTTTTTTTTAAAAAGCCAAAAGTTTAAAAACAGTATTATAAATACTGTTTACTCTTCACAATAAATTTTTAAGTAACTATTGTTTAGTGTAGAAGCAAAATTCTCAACAGCAAGCTGTTCGTAGAAGTGATTTTTTTTTTTTACTAGTGATAGATACGGTATAGAAATGCCAACCCATAAGTCAGAAACATATACTGATAACCTAATGTATTAACCCAAATTGAATCATCATAGATGGGACAGGTTAATTAATTCCTTAGGAGCCTAAGTTTCTTCACCCAAAGTTGAGGCTATAATTGTCTTCTACCAACTTTCAGATATTTTGAGCATTTGTGCCTACTATATATAATGGTAGCTTCTCAGAAGAGTGTGCTAAAACTCCCACATGGTATCATTTCTAAATGAGTCTTTTCTACAGTCATTCTTTTGTGGTTTCTATTTTTAGAGCCCTGAATCAACAGAGGGTACAGAAGCTAGAAGCAGAGGTGGACCAGTGGCAGGCCAGAATGCTTGTTGTGGATGCCCAGCACAGCAGTGAGGTAGAGGCCAAGTGTTCATAGACGATAGTGTTGATCTTTTGAATTTTATTGGGTTATTATCATTTTAGAACAATGAAGTGAAGCAATCAGGTAAACTTCCTTTTCATTCAAGTCTCAGTTTTGGACACTGACATATTTTCAAGTAAGAAATAGACCTGTAGTGACAAACTAGGACCATAATTACAGCTAATTCTCTTGTCTTATATGGTCCACTTTCTTTTCATTTATTAACACATAAATTATCTCAAAAATTAAAAGATTTAGAAAATAACTTCATAATCTGAATAGTGAGACTGACCCCACTATTAATGAGACACATGCATACATGAGTATATGCACATGAATATGTATGTATAATATATGTGGATATTTCATATGAATAAGATTTTTTGAAGGATATACAAAGAACAATTGCCAGTTTTTATCTTCCCTAGAGAATAGAGAATGACAGTGGAAGGTGAATTTAGTTAAACTTTTAAAAACAAATTTAAAATTATAATTTAATAAATTAAGCTGGCTCTATTTTCCAAAGCTCTCTGGTTACCAATGGAGCCTACCTTGCCATTGCTTTCTAAGAGTCTCCTAAGCAATGTCTGCTTAAGTTTTCACATATATGTTCCAGGCACCTGAAATCTTTGTTTCTGGTCCCAACTAATTATTTCAATGGCACTTGAGCATAGTGTAAGGGATAGCTCCTCAGTGTTACAGATTTCTTGCATCTGTTATCATAAAATTAAAAACACTCTTCTCTCTTTCAGATGGAGCCTCTGAAAAAATCTCTAGATATAACTAGAGAAGACAACAGGAAACTGGCCATGAGCCTGGAGCAAGCTCTCCAGACAAATAATCATCTGCAAACTAAGCTAGACCACATCCAAGAAAAACTGGAAAACAAAGAACTCGAGCGGCAGAATTTGGAAACCTTTAAGTAAGAACAGTATAGTCACAGTGAAATTGGGGAAGAGCCTCTGGAGGAGTAAGTCCAGCTCATTCACATAAGCCAGTTAAACCCTTACCTCCTAGTTGAGCTAAAAAACTCCCAGCCAAATCATGGTAAGGAACCAAGCATAACAGAATACTAGCAGATAATAGCTGGTTGATGCATACCCAGCTGGCTCTCCTTTTTAGCTCTTCCCTCGTCCATTATCAAGATACTTCTTTATATTAAGGTTAAAACAAAATTAAAAGAATATTAGTTGGAAGGGACACTCATGTGTATCTACCAAGGTTAACATGTTCTTAAAAACATGATTTGAGCCAGGCATGGTGCTACATGCTTGTGATCCCAGCACCTGGGAGGCTGAGGGAGCAGGAGCATGAGCTCAAGGTCAGCCTCGGCTACACAGTGAAAATTTGTCTCAAAAAAACAAAATAATAATAATAATAATATAAAAGCATGATTTGGACAAGGAATAACAGCAGTCTGGGTGACACTAATCCATCAGGAATGGGTTGACTCCATCTAAGCAAATGTTAAGCCATTAGTTATTTTCAATTTTGACCTGTGATTAGTTAGATAAAACCCATCAAGTTTAGGTAATGCCACTAAAGTTTCATCTTAAGCCATATCTAGATAAATGTGATTTAGAGAGTATCATCCCATGAAATTTTATACCTAAGGAAAATGCAGTGTGCACATAGAGCTTTATTCTTGTCAGTTAGTGTACATGTTCATATAGGCTCAAAGAATAAAACAAAGCCCAGAAGGGATTTTTCATATATGTGATCTGTGCAAATTTTATATTCTGATGAAATTCTACTACCTCAAGACTATTCAGTATTAGTGAAAGCAGTATTGTGTTTGTAAGAATGATTGACACAATCATTTAAAAGTCTTCCAGTGTCAGTTAGAGTTTAGATGGCTACTAAGTCCTTCTAAACCCTGAAAATTCTTTAGGTGACCATGAAATATAATCCCTCCCACTACTGCTAAAAAGATCATGTCTAAGTCGTTCACAAGAAATCTAGGCAAGAATCAGAGGTTTCGTTGCAGTACTTGCTTCAGAATTTACCTTTACATTACACTTATAGTAGTTTGTATTTTCATCAAAAATGAATCATGCTTCACTTGAGATCTGTGAGCCTGTTAAAATGATGTAAAGTTGTACTTATGTGTGTACATACTCAGGAAGCAAGAGCAAGTTGGGGAGATTACGTTTTATACATTGTTGGTTTTAAGGTGGAATTGTTAGGTTTAGAAATGTAACCTAGCTCTGAACAGAGGTTATAAGTTGGAATTTATCTCTACAAGATAAGAGCTAATGCCTTTGTGTAGGTTAGTCTGCCATGGGAGAGCTACAGAGAGAAAATCAAGGTCACAAATTGTATGTCTTGCTACATTTTAGGGGGAAGGAACAGAGACCAGGGAAGGAGCATTTAGGGAGGTAAGGAAAGAATCTGCAAGATGCAGTATTACCAAGGCAGAAATCAGTGAGTCAGATGCTGCAGTGTCCAAGAGACACTCCAGAGAAAGAGCTTATTGAGCTTTGCAACTCATATCTGAGCATCCTCCAGACAGCCAATTTCTGTAGATCTAGAACATTACAAAGAGGAAATGCTTGATGAGGACCAGCAGTCAAGGAGGACAATGAGGAAGATAAAAAACAGATGGCAACTCAAAGGTACATGTGAAGAAAAATTATTTTGCTGCTATTGTGTTTATAGATGGGGAGAACTGGACCATGATTAAAAAGTATGGAAAAAGAACCCTATTGAACTGGATAAAAAGAAGACAAAGTGAGAGAGCAAAAGTGGAAGGAAAGGTTATCATTGAAATTGAGACTGGACATTTCTTCCTCTGAGCTCAGAAGGAAGAGAAGATGGCTAACTATTCAGAGAGCTGTTGAAGGAACTAATGGTGGATGGTCTGGCATTTTCCTTAGAAGAAAATAAGAGCAACATGAATATGTTCTAAAGATCTTTATAACATAGTGCCTATAAATTAACATTACTGTATTTCACACTTAAGTTTTAGGAGGGTAGATCTTAACCTTATATGTTACTATCACAATAAAAAACAGAAGAGGTGAAATGGTATATATGAGATTGGGGCAGAAGTGGAATCTTGAGAGGAAGAGAGAAATTAAATTTAAAAATTCAAACTTAAAATTTAAAATCTAAAGTTAAACTAATAATTAAATTTGAAATCTAATTAAACTTAGAATTTGAACTTTTAGTACTAAATGATGATGATAGCCATGACATTTATTGTGTGCTCATTATGCATTAGGCATTAATTATGCTAAGTGCCTCCTTTAAGACCAACTGACTAGATGATGAAGATATTGTTTTTATTCCCATTTTCCTGACAAGAAAACAGGCATAGGAAGATTGTGTACTCATGCCAAGATCAGTTATCTTACTAGAGCTGAGATTTGGCTCCAAGCAGAGTAGACTGACTCTAAAACCCATATTCTTAATCACTGCTATAATCACAATAAATTTAAAGACAATTTAGAAAGTTTTTAATAAAAATAAAATACAATACATACTGTTCCCTTATATTTTCACACATTTTTGGTCCATTTTTTAGATTAAAGTGAGTTAGGGAACAGTATCAGAATGTAATACGTAACAAAACAATTATCTCCAGTGACTTCAGGATCTCTCCCACATCTTTTCCCTTTTCTTTTCCAACCCTATGTCTCTCCATTCACAATACAGACCAGGCCCAGGGCCTGGGCTGAGGTGTACATGAGGGAGGTTTACTTTGCCTCCTACAGTCAGTATAAGAACATAGCCTGTGATAAGCACCAGGAGGTTGGATCTCCTATCTCTTTATGTAGTGCCTTTAGGACAGGTATCAGCAACTTTTCAAAAATGATACCACAGTTTACTACCATGATCCTGCCTGAGGGCCAAGGAGTGGGAGTGGAACCTCATCTACAGACCAAGCCAGTGCTGCCAGTTGGACAAGCTGACTCCATTAACAGAGGCACTCTTAGAGACACATGAGGAGCATGGACATAATTCAGTACATACAAAAGATGCTCAGGAGAGGAGAAGGAAGAGGAAGAATTCGGGGCAAGGCAGGCTTCTCCTACTCACTGAGAAATACTAATCACACACAGAATAGTTGCGTATTAAGTTATTGTCATCTACCTCAGAGAACGGTAAAGTTGAAAAAAGTCTAGGTATTGTTTAAGACCATTGGTTTTTAAACTTTTTTGGAATCTCCTATCCTAATAAGAGTCAAAAACTTTGCATATCAATTATCTCAGAGAGTTTTGGCCTCTTCTAAAGTCAAATCATGGATTTTGACCAAGGAATCGAAACTAAGAATACTGATCTAATATAAGGCTCTCACTTTAGATAAGAAACCTAAGGAATAGCTGATAAGAAAAAGACATGACAGAACCAAACCAACTGTCTCTTACAGTGCCAGTGCATCCTCTAATATTTTCCTTAATGGGAATTTCTCACTCTTTTGGTTGAATACAGAATGACATTTTGGTTTTTTAATGCTACAGTGGGTAAATGACGTTTTTCTCATCAGTGTGCACCATATCAACAAAGTGCAACTGATCTCCACTTGATTATGAATCACACACCTTTTGAAGAGTTGCACCTTCTCCTCTAAATCTTTCTTGCCTTCTAAGGTGATTTCTAAAGCTGGTTTATCATCTGTTTTCTTCAAAACAGTGAACGGATGACTGAGGAATCCAAAGTTGAAGCAGAATTGCATGCTGAACGCATAGAAGCTCTAAGAAAGCAGTTTCAGACTGAGAGAGAAACTGCAAGGAAAGCAACACAACGGGAAGTTACTGAGGTATGGGGTCGACAAAATCATTTTTCTCTTTAGATGAATGCTTCTTAAGAGGATAACCAGCTGCAGGATTTCAGAGAATGCTGTTGTTCTTTGCTCTTCTGATTCTCCTCTGATAGCAGTTTCTGATAGAAAATTCTTTGCCTAGTGAAGGAATGCCTGGGAAAGAGTCTTGTCCTTAGAGAGCAAGAACTGAGTGAGTAGACAGTAATGAGGAGACTGCCATCTGACAGACAAATCCAATCGCCTGTTTCTTCAGTTCACTTAGTCAGTATCCACTATGGATCTCCTTTCTCCAGAGAGGTACACACACATACCAGTAGAAGCTGTGGTCCGTGTGCTGGTGTGTGCTAAATAACCCTTGTTTAACTGTGACATGAGATAAATGGGAACACCTCAGAGCCTGTCTTGGATAACTAGAGATAGATGGAGTACAATTCTGAAGGAATTCCAAGTAAGGGAAAGTTTACTTTAGGTTTGTTGGGTGCTAGAAGATAGGAAATTTAATGAAAGCACAACTTTGAGTCTGGCAGAGATGCAGGGCTAGATCCCTCTCTGAGAGCCTGGGCAAAACTGAGTTATAAGAATGGCCAGCAGGTCTGGAGGTATAGCTCAAGCTGTAGAGTGCCTGCCTTGCAAGCTCAAAGCCCTGAGTTCGAACCACAGTATCACAAAAAAATTAAAAAAATTAAAAGTGAGCAAATGAGAAGTCTCTCTATCAGAAGCTTTAAAATGTCAGGGAGGGTTGGTAGAGTGGCTTATATCACCTAGCAAATGTGAGGCCCTGAGTTCAAACCCCAGTACCCTCCCAGAAAAAGCTTCTAAAATGTCAGAAAAGAGTGATGAGTTTAGGATAGACCAGATAATAAAAATGGCCTCACCTACTAGACCATTGGATGTGAACGGTTAGGTAAAAATGAAATGCTATAGGTTTCTGCTTCTTAAAAGCAATTTTAAGAAGTAAATGTGACAGTAGTGGAGAGTAGGGAAGATAGAAACTGGAAGCATGAGGCACAAGAAAATCGTAACAGTTAATTCAGGTAATTGATGATTATGGCCAAGCAAAGTCGTTCTGTTGGAAAATAGGAAACAATCAGAAATCCAATTTAATTTAAAAAAATCAAATGCATTGAAAATTGTAGCATAAACACTAGAGAGAAAGAAATTAAAATAATTCTAAGACTTGATTATTGGGATGTCTAGTCTGTTTTACCAGATTTGTTACATGTAGTAATTGTCATTGATAGATACCATTCACAAGTCAAATTCAACTAATGATAGATAGAAAAATTAGGAATTTCAAAACACTATATAAATATAAATATGTTGTAAAAAACATTCAAGGGAAAAAAAGGTGTACTAAATGTAGAAATGTCTTTAGTCAGAGATCATTGCTTGGAACACTTATAAAAGTGAAATCCTTTTAACAAGGGTCAGTGAAAATGGTAAACTTGTGAGGAGACCTGGGGAACAGTGAGAATGTGGTATCACTGAAAAGTTAGCAGTAGCCATGGGTTGAGTCCCAGCCCTGCCTCTTAGTAGCTATGGATTAATTTACTCTAAGTGACTTAACTTCTGAGTCTGTTTCCTCAGTCATAAAATAGAAATCATCACAACTACTTTCCGGGTTTGTTTTAAGAATTAAATAGGAAACTTTTTGTAATTATCTGAGTAGAAAATTAAGTACAAAGTAAGTAATGGTTGTTAGGGCTCCCCTAACACAGTTTTAGACAAAGCCATGATTGAGGAAACAGTGGAATATCTAGCAGGAAGTTAGTTGGGTGGTGATAGAAGACTGTGGTATAAAATTAGGATGTAAGGGAAGGGACTAGTATAGAGAGAAAAGGCATAGTCTGTCCATACAGTTATGTGCTTAACACACAGTTAAGCACTACAGTCCTTGAAAGTACCACCTTCCTATCTTTTCCTTTCTCAGCTGCCTCTTCTTTTTAAAGTTCAAGTGGCATTAATTTAAGAGAACATGAGGAGGAGGGGACTGTAAAATTATTTAAGTAATTACAGTGATATTATTTTTCCATGAGGCAAATTTATTAAAGTCCTTAAAAACAAAAAGCAGTACTATAAAAATATATACAGTAATAGTCAACAGCTGACAAGTATTTATATAAGCTACCATATAATTTATTTTTAGTTCTCAAGAAACTTATATGTCTCTTATGAAACCAGGCTGTACACATACTTTTCAGTTGATGAACCTGAGACTTGAGGAAGTTAATTACCCAAACTTACTTAGCTAATAAGTGGTAAAGCTGAGTCTGGAACTTAGGTCTGTCCAACTCTACACCATGCTCTTAAAATGCAAATGATGAATAAGCAATTACATTTTCAATCTGTTCTAAGAAAGATTTTGTTAAAAGTTATGAAAATCACTTGGTCTGTTCTCCGTAAATCTGCTCAATCCAACATCATTATTTATTGTGTTACTTACTCTCTTTTTTAAAAAAGAGGTTCAAAGAGAACAAAATGTAGAACAAAACTAAACAATCTTCTTTTACTAAATGGCAGGTTAAAACTTTCCAATTTTTTCCTTTTGTGTTCCAAGCTGAAGAAAGCACTTGATGAAGCCAACTTCAGATCAGTGGAAGTATCCCGGACAAACCGAGAGCTGCGGCAGAAACTCACAGAGCTGGAAAAGACAATGAACAGTAACAAGGAGAAACTAAAGAATCAAAAGGCTCAAATAAAGCTCCATTTGTCGGCAAAGACAAATAATGCTCAGAATATGGAGAGGATGAAGGTTGTATGAGAAACCCTAAGTCTCCCCTCACTTCCTTAGCATGCTGTGAAGTTCCAGGCAGTTGGTGTCTGGGGAAGAGGAGTTTTAAGAGTCCTCATAGCACCTTGTATCCTCTGGGAATTAGAGCCACAGCTGGGACGTGGGCAGATTGCCTTTGTGGGACTGTCTTTATTTCAATGAAGATGCTACTGTGTAAATGTTAGCTGCCAGTGTCACATTCTGACTCCTAGTCTGTCTCTTCCCCATTGATTGTACTGGATTTTGCTCTTTTGGGGTCAGTTGGCTAGATAAGAAATTGAGCGAAGCAGGAAGTGCTAACTTTGGGTCTCATGGGATTCTGTCTATCACCCTAAAGGCAAAAGAACAACACAGTTATTCCACTGACCATCTTTTAATGATATTTCTGCATTTACTTTCAGCAAATAGAAACAGAATTGAGACAAATGGAGATGATTAAGGATCAATACCAGAAGAAAAACTATGAACAGGTAGTTGATTTCCACAAACTTTTATGTTTACCATTCACACAAAATTCCAAATTTAGACAAATTCACCAAATGTCTTCCTCTTTGTTCCCTGCCAGTCATTGAGTATCCAGAGATTTGTGTCTGAAATGACTAACCTACAGAAAGAGATGCAGTTGTTAGCCAAGAGCCAATATGAAACTTCAGCACGGAACAAACAGCAAGAGCTGCGACTAGCAGCAGAACAGAAATTGAGGCTGGAGCTGGAAAATCGGTGCCAGGTAAAAGGCTTCTTAAGATTCCTCTCAGAAATTATCAGCAAATGTCATCCATCTAAATCTAGCAGTATAGCACTTCAATTGTCTGGATTCTCTAGAAGAAAACATACACTTATAAGTTGTTCATCTTAGTTAAATCCGTAGTGTTTGCTACTTTTCTCATTGTTTGACAAAATACCTGACAAACAGCTTGAAAAGGAGGACGATTATGTTTACATTCGGGATTTCCCCAGTGATTTCAGTTTGTAGTCATTGGCTTTGTTAACTCTGTGCCCATGGTGAGGCGCAGCAGCATGTGGAGGAGGAGGGGCTTCACCTCATCACAGAAAGGAAACAGACACAAGGAACTAGGGACCAGGTATATCCTGCAAATTCACACTACAGGGACCTACTTCTTTCAGCAAGGCTCCACCTCTTAAACTTGCCACCACTTCCCAAAATAGCACCACTAGCTGGGGACCCACGAGCCTTTGGGAGACACTTCATATTCAAACCTTAACAAATGATAATATTTAGGATTAAACCTGTAGGTTGGGATATGGTGAGTGACTTCCAATCTCAATTTAATAAAAATGATGTTCACTTTTAAAGAGCAGCCAGTTACTAAGTAAGACTTCTGAACTGGATTTCACAGTCTTACAGGACCTGTATTCCTCCTGGTTCATCCCAGGAATGCAGACATACTTGTTGCAGTACAAGAATCTTAGCTATTCCTGACTTAATTTAAAAAAAAAATTCATTATATCCCTGAAAAGGGACTTTAAGAGAGCACTGGGCTCCTGCCTTCCAAAAACTATGAAAGGTATCTGCCTTATTCTAAAAGAATATGTTAATCATTTTCTTTTAGCAGAATCCATAACTCAAAATCAAATCTGTAACCAAATACCTATTTGCAGACTGTAGGTTAAACTGAAGATAATTTTATTTTGCATTCTGGTAGCACCCTATCCTCCTTTCATAATTTGGTTGCCATATTATAAATGAAAGATTTTTGGTTCCATATGGCGCATTGAAATTAAAATCTCTATTACATTTTCAGGAATTGGAAGAAACTGTCAGACACTTGAAGAAATGTAAAGAGGCAACAGAGAATAAACTGAAAGAAGCTAGCATGGAATCAGAACAGGTGAGCCAGCCCAGGAACATAAAGACTTAGACAACAACCCTAAAGTACATTGAGTTAGTGTGACATCTGTCATTAACATAGTTGTCAGGAGTGTAACAGGCAAGAACCAATAACTTACTACGTATAGTCTCTACTAAAGAATAATTAAATAGTAATTAAATTTAACATTTAATTCTTTAATAATTGAATAAAGAGTAAGTTTTAAATTAAGATTCTGTGTCCTAGTGATAAATAATAGAATGATAAAATACTAATTAAAACTGACATCCAGGTCCCTACCACTAAATATAAGGTAAGATCTGTTCATATCTGTACATCTTAATGCATTATTGTTTGACATGAAGTAAAGAATGTGAATTCTTTGCTTAATAACTAGAAGTATAAAGTTTACTGTATTTAATCTGTAAACTTGCTTCTCTGTTCTGTACTCAAATTGGCTTATGTAAGGATATTTAAAATCATACCTTTTTATAGTTAGAAATGATCTTTGAGATCATAAGTGTACCAAAACCACCTTTCATTTTCTAGCTTAAACAGAGATTCTTCAGCTTAACATGTCATGACATTGCTGTCAACTTATCCTTTGTTCCTGTTACAGCCATTCAATTACATAATAATATGACTTATAGAATGGTATATTAAAAAGAATAAGGACTCTGACAAACCCAAGTTTGGATTCTAAGTGTGTCACTTACTGTGTGCCCTTAGGGAAGTTACATTTACTTTCTTTAATCCATGTTTTACCACTTCTATAAAACTCACATCTATTGTACTACTGTTTCATTCTGATAGATAGCTCAGAGTAAGTTTCAATGAATGCTCACTTTCATTTGCCATACAAAAGGAGACATGATGTACAAAATCATTTCAAGCATGTTCTCTCCTCTGCTGGAAAGATTGCTTAGAGAAACAAAGGGTATATTTTGGTTTAGTTTGGGGAGTGGGATTGTAGCTATTGTCAGGATGCATGAACAGCCCTGGAAAATACTTTATCTTTGTAGCTTCTAAAAGTTAAATGACACTCTAAAAGGAGGAGTCAAGCTTTCTTACCTCAGGATGGTGTGCCCAGTGAATAACCTAGCTAATGTGGGCCAAGTCTGTGGCAGCACCAACGGCTGCTGTCATAGAGGGCCTGCTCTATGTCAGATACCTTCTAGGTGAGGGAGATTCAGGTAAAAGTAAGGGATATCCAGGAAACACTAACAAATGCATGAAAAGCAGCAAGCCTGCTTGCATTCTTTAACCCCTCATTCAGACAGTACTCTCTCAACTTCTAGGTTGTTCAGTACAAGTAGGTTGAGAGGACCTCACAATCAGAATGTAGGTCTTTTATTATCTAGATAAAGTCTCTCAAACTAATGCCAAAAAACCTTGTAACTGTTTCTATGTTCAGATAACAGCTAACCTGGAAGAAGCTCACCGCTGGTTTAAGTGCAGGTTTGATGGCTTACAACTTGAGCTGACAAAAAACCGGTTGCAGAGGCTTCCCCGGGAAGACCCGTGGCTGGAAGAGGTGAGGCTGACATGGTTATCTTAAACAATTTTGGATTTATTCCTTCTCAGATTTCTTTTTTTTGTTATTTGGGGGATACAGTCTTGCTATGTAGCCCAAGCCAACCTGGAACTCTCAATCCTGTGTCGGTCTCCCAAGTGCTAGGATTATAGGTGTGCACCACCAAACTCAGCTCTCTTCAGATTTCTAATTATAAAAGTTCTCTCATCATTGAACTACTCTTTTACTAATTTTTTTATTTCTTTAAACTACTGCTAGGAAACCAATGGACTAAATTTTTTTTTCTTTAAAAAAAAATGGTGGCTCATGCCTGTAATTCCAGCTACTTAGAAAGTAGAAATAGGAGTATTGTGGTTTGAGGTCAGCCTGGGCAAAAAGTTAGTGAGATCCTGTCTCAAAAAAACAAGCTGGATATGGTTGTTCATTCCTATAATTCCAGGTACGAGTGAGGTGGATATAGAAGGATTTAGGTGTGAGGCCAGCCTGGACAAAAACGTGAGACCCTTTTTGAAAACAAACTTAAGCAAAAAATAGCTGGAGCATAGCTCAGCTGATAGAGTATTTACTAAGCAAACACAAAGCCCTAAGTTCAAGCCCAGAACCACCAAAAAATTGTTATTTATCTTTCCCAAACTGTCTAGATGAAAACCATCTAGTGGATGAATGAGTGACATTCATGGATGCCAACGGGTCCTAAGCACTGTAGTTCTTTCTGAATGGACAGTTAGGCATGTTTTCCTTCCAACAGGATCAAGATATAAGGCATGATATTATGCCCAGCCAGTGTGCTCTGCATCGATGGGAGACTAAACAGAATCTTGGCCTGATGTCCAAAAAGTACCATTCTGAGATAGAGAAGAAGAAATGTCCTTGACAGAGGAGCCTCTTCATGCGTAACCACAATACTGCAAACCAGCAACTAGGGTTGGTCTGTGTCTGCATCACAAGAATGTGACGTCTTTGAAGTGGGCTGAAGACTTTGGATCTTAGTTATCCTTTATGAACTCTTTTATTTCACTACAGAACTACCCCCATCCTCTCTGTGCCTGTCCCTGTTTTCTACCCAATAAATTTAGTTTGTTGTGTGATAGCAGATGCTGTTGAGTGACACTTGACTAGTCTTCTTACTACATTTTATCAAAAAGAATTTAGTAATACACTAAGTTACTAAAATAATATGATACTAAAATATCATATTACTAAGGTAATATGATATTTTCTGTCAATGAAATATGCTATTCTTATATCCAGTAGATAATCCCTGGAAATAGAAACCCCTGGGGAAATGAAACTCTTCTACTGCCTTATAAACTTACATACAGAAGTGTGTAAGTCCATAAGCAACCTAATTAGATTAATATCTCTACTCATAAATAACACATCTCGAAGATTATATTTATAGCCTCCTTGTCTGTTCAGTCTGCTGTACTCATGGAGCCTATGTTTGATAACGTAGCTCTTTCTTACAATAGTAAGCAATAGTAAGCTTTCTCTTTTTATTTCAGGTAGTGAACACAGTAGATTAAGTAATCCAGACTTAACCTACATAAATGACTGGCATAAAGACTGACTTAATGAATTCCCAAGTAAATACAGATTCTGGTGATACCCTCAGGACCTAAATAAGACTATCAGCAGTTGACGAGCCCACCACTCCATACCTGATATAAAAAGGCAAAATCGAACTTATTGCTTGCATATAGGAAAGGAGAACTATGTTGTTCAGGCCTCATCCTCCCTGGGGATAGCACACTGTTGATCTCTTGCAGGATTTGGGGGAGCATGGAATTCAAAAATTAGAAGACTGTCAGAGACTTACGTGGACTGGCATCATAGAAGTAGAGTTACTTTGGTGGTTGGCATTCAGAGGCATGTTTAGTGGAGTGAATCCACTTCTATTTGTCTGACTTCCAGAAATAAGGGACTGTCACTGGTGGGTTTATAAAATAAAGCAAGTTGTCTCTGATCTAGTGACAACTTTAAAACTAATTCTCATGACTGCTTGGTACCATGGCTTCAAAACAATCCATTCAAGGGGGTGGGATTATTTCATTCTTTGTGGCCCCCCTGTGGTCTTCATGTCACATGTTAGGGCAGTGGCTCTTTAGAAGCATTTAAGACTGAACAGCAGACATTAAACAAGTATTTTCCCCTTTCAGGCTAGAAAGAGAAAATTCATATCTGTTACAGTACTCATAACTGTTTTGGTGCTATGATTTGAATATGTCCTTTCCAAAATTCGTGTTGAAACTTAATATCCGTTGTGATGAATTAAGAAATGGGGCCTTTGGGGAAATTGATTAGGTTTCGAGGGCCCTTGTGAATAGATTCATGCTTTTAATAAGGGCTGGAGAGAACTAGTTTAGGTCTTTTTGCTTTTCCACCTTTCACCATGTGAAGACACATCATTCAGTCCCTGCAGAGGACATTAGCAACAAGTTGCTACCCTTGTGTAGGGAACAGTGTTTTCACCAGACATGAGCCCACCAGCACCTTGATCTTGGACTTTCTAGTTTCCAGAACTATGAGAAGTAATTTTCTGTTCTTTATAAATTACTCATTTTCAGGTGTTTTGTTTCAAGTAGTAACAATGAACTAAGACATTCAGTTAAGGAACTTAAACTTATTTGTTGTAACTCCAAGGCTTGGGTTCTATTGTTTCCTGGGTCAACCAGGAAAGCTGTGGAACATAAAGTGAGGAACATAGTTTTGATGATCTCCTCAAGTTGTCTAATTCTTATGGGATAGGTCACTATACTTAGGAGTTAGTCAGTTGAGGGTATAGGGGAATCATGGTCTTGAAACAGCCTAACCAAGAGCCACACAGGTTAATTAACCTTACTGTCCTGGGCTGGCACTGAAAACCCTGGTCCTCAATTCCACAGTAAAGAAGATCCCAGTTACTACACAAGGGAGATGATCGACTCTAACAGATTATAAAGCTGTTGCCCTTGATTGTTGCCTTGATAGTCACAGTTACCTGCCAAGAAAGGATATCCAGGGAAGGTATTTTCTTCACTTTAGTATTGCTCTCAAAGGTTATCATTACTGATAGTATAACATACCTTTGTATCATTTTCAGACTGACTATACTTAGCTTAGAAGAAGGGAATTACTAGAAATGGTAATCATTTCTAGTAAAACTTTAGTTGTTATTAGTAAGAGAAATGTGATAACTAAATCAGAATGATATAAGCCTAAACTACAAAGAGTGTGATAAAAGAGTGTGACTAAAAGTATATGTAAAAGAGAGTATAACAAGAATATGTAAAAGAGAGTAGGATAGAAAAATCTTATTTTGATGATCTCAAGTATCTGCTCTTAAAAATCATTTGCTTCTGTAAGTTTTCTGGAGAACTTTGAGATCTCTAGTGTGTATAAATTTTCCATTCTGCTTTTCTATTTTCCCAAAGGACTGGAAATGGCAGAGGCAATATGATTCTGATTGAAGGTAAAGCTTATATAATTCAAATCATGAATAATTGTTCCAGTTTAATGTGCCCTGTATCATTAGATAGATGGAATGTCTTTGGTAGGAAACACAAAATCTTTTTTTTAGCAATTATAAGTGCTACAGCTTATTAACAGAGGAATTCTTCCATTCATCCACAAAAAAATGCCATTATGTTTATTCATTCTTTTATTTTCATACGCCACAGAGGTCCATAGTTCAGTCATCTGAACTATGGTTTCTGATAAGAATTCCTTGAGACATTTGGTGGCATTTTATAACTAGCCTGATAGTATTTCTTTTTGTTTTTAATATAAGATTCATCACCAAACAATACTACCATAATATGTTATTGGAAGAGGCAAATGTTCTGTCAAGACATGGACACACTTTTTTCTGTTGATTACTGAAATGCTGTGATGAAATGCTCTTCCATTGAATAAGAAATATAAAATCACTGAGTTAAGACTACTAAACCAGCACTTCTGCTACCGGATTACCCATCCATCTGAAATAACCAACAGAAAAAATATATGAAGAAACAGTTTTTTAAGATGCTGTACATCATGCAACAAAGAAAAGAATCCTTGAGAGAAAGGAAATAAATGAGGTGAACCCTATTATTGCTCCACCACATTGAGGAGTTGAGATGGAACACAGTAACTCCTGAGTTAAGGAACTGGAGTTGAGAACCTAGAGAGACAAAGGCAGCTGGAGTTCTTATTCAGAGAACAACAGAAAGCAGAGAGCTACACAGAGGGAACATTCTTTGGGAATCCTCTTAGAGTAATCTGCTGAGTATTGGTCAGCAATGCATGGGGGGAGACTCCCTAAAAGTATGAGAGGTAACAGAGCCTGGCACACAAACAATGCCAGTTCCCACCAGTCACAGTTAGAAACCTCATGATTTATGGGGCATTGGGTAAAGTATACAAAAGGATCTTATCTCAGTTGTAAAGACTGTTTAGAACTAGTATGGGATACTGTGGTCCCCTTTTGAGTCTTAAAAGTGAAATTTCAAATGATCTCTTTCCATAAAACTGTTTCAGAATAAAGCTTAAGACTATTTAGAGGAAAACAAAAATATGCGTTACCCATCAAGGTATAGGTACAGTATCTGACGTCTGTAATTATCACACATGCAAAGAAGCAGCCAAATATGACCCACAAAGAGAATCAATCAAAATGGACCCAGATGACAAAGAGTAATGGACTGATTAAAGTACATGTATTTACAGAAAAAATATGAATCCAAAACCCCACTGAACATCGAACAGACACTTAAACAATGAAGGACAGGAATGTAAAACAGGTCATATTAAGGGGAGAGGGTAAATGAAGAGGGTAAAGGAGAGTGAATGTCACTGAAGTACTTTCTATACATGTATGAATATGAAACATTGACACCTGTCAAAGTCGTTTTAAGAAGGGGAGAATAATGGAGGGTGTGAACCAAACTGGGGCACAATATATGTATATATGAAAATGTCACAAAACCCCCTTTGTCATATACTAATAAAATGTTTTAAAAAACCAAAATTGACCCAGAACCAACACAGGTGTTAGAATTACTAAACAAGCATGTTATTGTAACAGTATTCTACTTGTTCAAAGAGTGTTACTTCAGTAGATAGTAGCCTAAGAGATAATCACAATAATTCCTAATTGTGTAATTAACTAATAAAAAAGTGATAGGTAGTTTTTCTTTAGCAGTAGACATTTATCACATATAGTAACATCCGATGTGAAGGTGATTCTAATATAAGATCCATAGATGCTTTTACTAATTTTTGAGTGTACTAATTGTTCTGAAGCAAGAAGACTAAGCCATGGCTACTGAATTAAGGGTTAGCCAATGGTGCTTCTATGTGTGCTGGGTAGTTAACACCCTTAGAGAATGATCTAACCTCCTCATGTATGTAAAAATGTAAGAAGAATCAATATGAACTTTCTCACAGACTTAATCTGTCTGTGAAATCTTTTACTTTGAAGGAGTCTTAGACCATAGCTATTTTTTCTCTGGTAATTTCTCAGGTATTTCCTGAAATTATCATAGGTGTTCTAATGCCATATTTGATCATATATAATGTATGTATAATACATACATATACATATAATCTGGCATATTTAAGGACTGCTGGGCTAGTGGAGTGGTTCAAGTGGTAGAGCGCCTGCCTAGCAAGCATGAGGTCCTGAGTTCAAGCCCCAGTACTGCCAAAAAGAAGAGAGAGAGACTATAAGGGCTGCTGTATATATTATCTGGAGCTAGATCCTACCTATATGAAATCTATAGATGTCACAAAGAAAATAAAGGAATAGTTTTCCAACAGTGATCCCAAAGTATCAGCTACATGGTAGGATTGAGGAAAGGACTTTGCTATAGGTGGGATTTGGAATGTCCTCCAAATGCCCATGTATTAAAA